TCTGAGTGAGGGTTTCTCAACAGTGGCACTGTTGATATTTTGGGCCAGATAATTCTTTGCTGTGGGGACAGCACTGTACAGTGTAGGATGTTTAGCAGCATTCCTGGCATCTACCTACTAGATGTCAGTAACACCCTCCTCCCCAGTTCTGACAATCAAATCTTCCCACAGGAGCAAAATTGTCCCTAGTGGAAAACCACTCATCTAAATGATGTAACTATGTTTTGGTGGAGGCCAGGAAAGAATACTTTTATGGGGTTTGTTAAGCCAAAGAAAACCACCTAGTGTTTCAATTTTCCTATAATAAGCTATCTTTTAATTTCTTTTCTTTTTTTCTTGCTCATGTTCTTTAACAGGCCCAGGTTCCTTGATATCATTACATGAGTGCAATAGTGAGGTCCTCTTTGAAAATGAACCAAACTAGTAAATTCTCCACAGAACAGATAAGGTTAAATTCATCTGTGAGGGGAAAATCCAAGAGGTTATTTGTAAATGTGTGCCCAAAGCCTTCGGTACCGGCCCAGTCTCCTCCAATCCACTGATCGGGGAGACAGGGCCAAAATGTAATTGTGATGAAGTTCTTTTTTTTTTTTTTTTTTTTGTCCTTTTTGAGACCGGCTGCACCGCGCTCAGCCAGTGAGTGCTGTGAGCGCACCGGTCATCCCTATATAGGATCCGAACCCGCGGTGGGAGTGCTGCTGCGCTCCAAGTGCGCCACGGGCTCGGCCCGTGATGCAGTTCTTGGGAACCTAATTAATTGTATCACAGTCCATTTGGAGATGGGTTGCATGACAAAGAAGGAGCTGTTCAGCCATGGTACACAGATGACCACTGGATCAACCAGGAGAGAGGGTGCCTCGGACATGGATGCTGGCTTAGGGTTTTCCTGGCATAGCCATGCCCAGAGCTGGGGAGAGAGTTTCTCTGAGTTTTCTTGGCTGATGACCCTGAAGTCCACTCTCACTAAGCAAATAATGTGATAATGTGGCACCTCTGTAGCTTGCTCACAAGGAGAAAGAGCCCTTGTTCAGCTGCTCTGAGTATTCCATTCATCGGTGTGACACAAGATGGCCCAGCTGAACAGATTCCCAGCTGGCATAACACAGGTAGGTGGTGTGAAGACAATGGGAAAGTAGACTGCCTGGGGACATCTACCTTATCTCTACCATTTGATGCTGTGCCCCTGTTTGCAGCTCCCTGCTCTTCTTGCCATTCCGGTTAAAGGGAGTTGGATCCATTAACGTGAGGAAGAAGAGAGACAGTAAATTATCACTCATAATAGGTGAGTTGAGGTACTAGTTATTGTGTTTACTTCTTATTTACTTGTAATGACCAAGTGACAAATACCATTCTGGGTACTTCATCCCATGTTGTCTTACTTGGTCTTCACAAGGAGCCTGTGAGGAAGACATCTGTAGTGTCACTTGAGGAAACCAAGGCTTAGAGAAGTTGAATGACTTCTTCATGACCCTTAGCTAGTAACTGGCAATTGGACTTGGTCTCTTTGGGCTCTAATTGCATTCTAAATACATAAAGAAATATTTCCTGAGGGTAATGCAATTAAATGGTAACCTTAGAGAATGTCACATATGTCAAACATGGTCTCTGTGCTCAATGGAACACTCAGCATCAGAGCTGAGAGGGACTTTGGGAATAGTCTGGTCCAAACTCCTCATCAACAAAATGAGGAGTTTGGACCAGACAAACATAAGAAACATAGGGGAGATGAGGACCTATCCAGAATGGTGTAGAAGGAAAGAAAAGGGCGTATATGGACGTGCCATAGAGGAACGCCTACAGGGTGTGGTAGGTGAGTGGGTATGAGTGGAGGAGCTGAGAGAAGGATGAGTCAGAGTTAGGGACGATGATGACATCACTGACTGAAACAGGGAGGACCAGAGAGGAAGCTAGTGATAGAAAAGTGAAAAAAAGGTGAATTCATTTCTGAAGAATCGAACGTGAAAAGTCAAGGAACTGGAAACTCCTCATGAAAATTTCAAGACTTGAGAAGGCAAGGCATATCCCAGAATATGTCAAATAACATCTCAGAGCGAAAACCCTAGCACTGGGACTGAGACACCCATGGCAGGTCTCTGTCATGCTCAACAGTTTTATTAGCGCATAGATGAAGGCAGAGAAGGGATGTTTGCCATGTCAACAGTCCCTTCAAAGCTAAGTGCCACAGAGGTCAGAATCAATAGACAGAATAGTCAAAATAGCTGGGAAGAATAAATGAAACTAACATGAAATTTATCAGAGATCAATGTAAAGTCCTCTGTTCATGTTCAGAAAATCAAACGCACAACTATAGAATTAACAGAGAATAGCAGCAGTAGTGATATTAATAACTACTCTTTAAAAAAATCTAATTACTACATGCCATGATCCCTATGTGTCAGTTGCATCACAAAACAATTTATTTAATACTTACAGTAACCTTATGACATTGGTACTGTTTTTATTGTCTATGTCTTACAGTCAAAAAAACTGGGACCACAGAGATTAAGTAAACTTGCCTAAAGTCACACAAATTTTGGTTTGTGTAACTGAAAAATACCACACTCTTTAAACAATAAGATAAGAATTGGGGAGACCTGATTTGATCACACTTGTGTTAAAGACTTTTTTCTACTTGTAAAAATATGTATGTGTTTGTGTGTGCTACAGAGAAAAATACACCTCCTGCTCATTCTTTCTTCCTTCAGTCTCTTTTCAGCCCTGGGGATCTACCCCCTGGATCAGGGTCATCCTTTTTAACTCTCTTGATAGATACTCACTGTCTCTCTTTTTGTGACTAAGAATTTGAGCAAATATAAGCTTCGATAAGCCTGAGAGTATAAGCATAGCTCTCCACTTATACTGTCATCTGATGCCAAATAATTGCACAGTTAGGCAACCTTTTCAATTGGTGACAACCAGCCAGGAGAAGGGACACAAATCACAGGGGGCAACTATTTCATCTATGTATTCCTCACCATCCCACCTAATTTCAGAAAAGATTTTAAATGGTACTTGAACTCCATTGTGTTTGCAATTTCATTTCTTTGAAAAGTTCCACATCAACAGTGTACATTTTACCAAAGCAGGCCAATTCTGTAAAGACAGCTGAGTAACCAAATGGGAAAAAAAGAGTTACTTTTGTCTGAGCAGATGAGTGTAGTGTATGATTATCCATAATATAATTTTGGTTTTCTGTCCTGTAATCTATGATGGTATATTACCTATCAACTGCTCTGTGATTAAGCTGGACTTTGTCCCAGAGAGAGGGATCATAAAATAAATTAAGTTCTATTGCCTTTCTTTATTCAAATTCCCACCTGAATTTCCTGAAAGAGGTTCTAAGGCTTAGTCTAGCTCTAGGTTATGAAATATATCTGAAAAGGACCTTTGGACCCTCTTGCTCATTTGAGAGAAGCCCTGATATCCATGCCTTGTTAGTTTCTTTGCCATGTTTCTCCTACCTCTCCTTCCCCTTCCCTTCTCACTGCTGTGCCCCAAGTCTAGGCCCACACCTCTAGATGCTTGAGTTATTTGAGTATCCCTCCCTCCAAGGTTCCCTCCCCCTCCAATCCATCTTGCCCACCTCCTGTAAACCTGGTGGCATGACATCCTAACAGGGTGCCACCCATTCTGCAGCATTCTGTGGTTAGAGCCCTCACCGCCCTTTGTGATCTGGCCCCACCCTACACGTCCAACCTTCTGGTTGGAACTTCTGGTCCCACATCCCCCACTCTGCAGCTTCTGTTGGGCAGTAAACTATCCTCATCATCTCACAGATGGATCAAGCTCATACCCAGCTCTGCATGTCAGTTTCTATATTTCCTCCCTCTCAGCACATAATGCTTTTCCTCCAATCCTCCAACTACTGTTACCTTATCTGCCTCTCAAAGCCCAGCTCTTGCAGCATCTTCTCCATACAACCTTCTCCAGCTCTTCCAATTTTCTTCCTATACTCATTTAGTCACCTACTACTTCCATTGTTTTGTCCCTGCCCCCCATGAGGTTGCAGCAACTTGAGACCAAGGTCAAGACCTTGGTGCCTTCTTGTCCCCCTCAGTGCCGATCACACGGCTGCACTCAAGAGCATGCTCTGGCAATGGCTGACTGCAGCCGATGGTGCCTACCAATCCCAGGTCATACTAGGTACAAACCCGTATTCTGACTGTGAATGGCTGTCTCTCCACCAATTCGAGACTAATTTCTCTTCAATTTTGTCTCAAAAACTATTATTCTCTAACTTCTGGTTATTTGTGATTACTTATCTGCTACATGTGTCACATCAGCCAATGAGAAATGGGTAAAGTTAAAATATATAGTTGGAATATAAAACACTCCCCAAACATTTAAAAGTTCTAATCTGCGAAAGCCATGATGACGTTACAATGAAACAAAAAGACTTTAGAAATCAAAATTTGGGAAGTTGCCTTTTCCATAGCTCCTTGACTCACACCCCTGGGCCACCCACTTCTGGTTTATTCTTTCTATGAGGCTTTTCATAGATAATTGTTACACTGCCATGAAGGCATTGGAAATAAGTATATAATCCCCTCAATGCGCTTGTAATATACACACACAAAATAAACAAAACCATAAAACTACAATGAATGCAAATAATTACAACTATCCTCAGATTTGAATAGTAATTCATAACAAAATGGGCCCAGACTCCGTTTAGACAAACCGTTCCTTAGAAAAGTTTGTTGTGTTCAGACTCTGAAAGCTGGCTTTGGTAAAATCTAAGCTCTTGACTTTTCTGTTTTATTGTCTCTCCAGAGCTTTACACTTTGTTCTATCACTGGCAAAAGCCAGTTAGAGCCGGCCCACTTGTTCCTACACATTGCTTTAAAAACTCAATCCACTTCCCTATAGCAAGTTCCACCCACTGCCTTAGAACTAGCAAAGTGTTCTAGGATTTCAGTATTTCTGAAATGCAGCAAGAGCACTGGGAGAAAAAAAGGAAAAGAAGACAGTGGATAAGTATTGGATGGGGAAAGTCTTACCTCAGCTTCTGACTGGCGGGGACAGTTATTTTATTAAGCTTGTCCATTCTTTTTGGTAATTGTAAGTGACACGAATAACCGTCCAGCCGTACCGTCAGTAGTTCCCGGCCCTCCTAGGGAGCAGCATGGTCAGCCTCGGCTCTCAAGGGTTCCAGTCACTCCAGTCTCATTTCTGAGCGCGCAGGCTGCTGGCAAACACCCTGCACTAGGGAGAAGTAAAACTCGCTCGAGCACATAATTCAAGTTTCATGTTTCTATGTCATCATGTGATCTGGGTAGCCAGCCAGCTTGGCTGATTACTCCACATTGTGTAAACTTTAATAGTGAAACCTATTGGGCATGCAAATTTCTGTCCAGCTGCTTTCTTTTATAATCGGATTTGTAACCAGGTCTGGACAAGCTTCTGGCTGGTCACTACTTCCTGTTTGTCCCAAACGCATATAGTCCCAGTTTTCACCAGGTGTCACTGGCAACTTCCTGGGTGCCAGGAAAAGAAGAATAATCAATTCCATCGGCATGTCTCTTGGGGACTTTCTGCTCATTTACATAAAGTCATGGATAAGCTTTTTCCACTTGTAGAGACATTATATGAAAGTGGCATTTTCATACTGTCCCTCCCATATGTTTTTAAATAAAGATCAGGGCGGCAATGACACAGTGGTAAGAGTTTACTCAGAGAATTAGAGACTCTCTTTTCCTGGTGCTCTGTTTAAAATAGGATAAGTATGGGCTGGCCGGTTAGTTGGTTAGAGCGTGGTGCTGGTAACACTAGGGTCCCAGCCAGCCACCAGAAAGGGAGGGAGGGGATGATGGGTAACTCCCTGTGCAAGGTCACTTAGGGGTAGAGACAGGTGACCCAGGAAAGGGGAGAGATCTCCACCACAAAATGTGTGCCCTCTTCGTTGGTGGTAGAGTCAGGAGTTACCTTGCTGATAGCCAGATGCTGTCAAACAAACCAGGCTGTACCCAAAAGTCCACTGAGAACAAATCTAACAACTTCCCAACAAAGCAATTCTGACATCGGGCCATTCTGAAGTCCTCCTAAAAATGGAGTGACTCCCCCCTCCCTGCCTTTGTCCCCTCCTGCCTTGTGCACTGCTCAATTCAAGCCCTCGTCGGACCCATGACATACCAGACATGGGTCATGCCAAGCAGGTGGGGGGGCTGGTGGGGCTGGTGGGAGGGTACCGCAGCTGCAGGGGCTGAATTCGTCCAGAGAGGTCTACTTCCCGGGCCATTCTGAAGTCCTCCTAAAAATGGAGTGACTCCCCCCTCCCTGCCTTTGTCCCCTCCTGCCTTGTGCACTGCTCAATTCAACCCCTCGTCGGACCCGTGACATACCAGACATGGGTCATGCCAAGCAGGTGGGGGGGCTGGGGGGGCTGGTGGGAGGGTACCGCAGCTGCAGGGGCTGAATTCGTCCAGAGAGGTCTACTTCCCTCCTGGAAGACTTTACATTTCCTTCTACCTGATATGAAAAACGCCGATTTGTTTGTCATTTAGACAGCAGAAGGCAGTTTAGGGTCAGGGAGAAAGACAGTGAGAGAAAGAAAAGAAATCCTTTTACCTGAATGTACTTTTCTGCAGTGTGCAGGAATATCTTGCTCACCTTTGTGAAGTAAAGTGCACATTTCCCACATTTATCAAAGGGACCAGTCCTCTCCTGGGTCAGAATACAGAGGGACAAAATCAGGGCTCCCAGTTAACTCTCCTGTTACATACCTGAAGTCTGGCTGAAGATGGAGGGGAAAAGAGGAGTAGATGGGGGGAGGGAGGAGGAGGAAAAGGAGGAGTTGGAGGGGGAAAGCGGGAGGCGGCAGTGGCAATGGCAGAGGTGGAAACTGTAGATGGATTTCTTTCCTCCTGTGCCTCTTTGTACAAACAGAGGCTCTGTATTTCTCCAGGTAGCCTGGATTATTCACATTCAAGTGCTGCTTCTGAATTTCTGGTTGGACCAGATGTTCAGGAGCAGAATCTTCAGAGTATTGAGGGGTGGGGCCCTTCTGCTTGGCCAGACCAGCAAGACAGCAGACAATCATTCATGAGAAGAAATGGGAGTGCTTGCCTCCTCTGATCGTGCATTTTCCCCAACCTCACAGCTCAGTTTTCTTGCAGTATATCCTGAAGGAGCTCTAGACTCCTGATCCACCTCTCCCATAGTTCCTAACTGAAAGAAACAAGTAGACCAGGATGGTAAAGGCACATACAATGGTATCAAAGATCAGGAAAATCAGGCTTCACTGAATGGGAGGATGAGAGTCAGCTTGTTCCTTCTGAATTAGTGTAAAGTGCACCCCACTGGCCACTAAGTAGACCAGGATGGTAAAGGCACATACAATGGTATCAAAGATCAGGAAAATCAGGCTTCACTGAGTGGGAGGATGAGAGTCAGCTTGTTCCTTCTGAATTAGTGTAAAGTGCACCCCACTGGCCACTTGACTTTTCTCTCCACCAACAACTGTGTTCAGCACCTGGGCCGGCAAATTATTTCCCCAGAGAAAAAGAGCAGGGGCCAGGGTTGCACTTCTGCTTTTTCTTTTTACAGCCACTTGTCTTTCTTCTTTGTACTGCATTTAGCCTGACATGACGAAAACGAGAGTCCGCTTTTCCAGACTGGATGTTTCACCCTATGTGGTGTGTAGCGTGTCAGCCTCATGTTCCAGGCCTGCCACAACAGCTTGGCAGCTGCCACTGGCTTACCAAGAAGGTCAACGCAAGGTTGGAAACTGACAACACCAAGTCTCAGCTGAAACTTGGTGAAAGAAATGAGACCACACAGCATGGCTCCTCAGCACATTTCAGAGCAACAGACTGTGACAAGTGCTCAAGCTCAAGCCACACGGCACAGTGGAAATTCATTAATCACTAGATTAACAGATGAGAAATGGACAATCCCAACCTTAAAGAAAATTTGGAATGCCCATACACTGCTGATAAAAGTATAAAGTGCAATCACTTTGGAAACAGTTTGGTATTATCTAATAAATTTGATGATATATATACCTGTGACACAGCTTAGGACACAGATGTGGCAGATCACTCCTAATCACGTGTACCAAGGTCATGGGCAAGAGTTTTCACTGAAATGCTATTTCTAACAGAAAAAAACATAACAACAAAAATCCTGCTCTGGAAATAACTCGATTTTTCATCAACAGGAGAATGAATGAATTAGTTGTGACATTCACCCAATGGTGTATTATTCAAAAGTGAAAATGGGCGAACTCCAACTGCATCAGAACAGATAAAGAACAAAAATAATTTGAGCAATAAAGGCAAGCTGAAGAAGCTCACAGAGCATGAGTAATCTAGACAATATGTTATTTAGGATACATACATACACGGTGAAACCAAGGAAGGAAGTGATAAAGGTAAAATTCAGGTGAGTGGTTACCAGGGAGCAAGACTGGAGTGAAGGGGCACACAGGGCTTCTAAGCAATGGCAGTATTTTATTTCTTAAGTTGAGTGGAGGGTATGAGTGTTAATTTTATTGTTATTATTTATGTCTTACACATATTATAGGGACTAACAGTTAACAAAAATAAACGAAAAAAGATCTGGTCTAGAATTACGGGACAAAGTCAAGACAGCATCCCAAATCTAAGCTCTGAGAGATGATGGGCTTGAGAACAAGAAGACAGACTATCCTGGAGCTTGGGGACGAGACCCAGCCATCCCTAGTTTCTCTTGGGCACTTTCCCTTGCATCTGTGGATGACAATTACAACAATACGCTTGTTGAATGTCTTCTGTGTTTCCTGTACTGTGATGACATTCATTTTAAATGTGAAGAAACTGATTCCTAGAGACATTAAGTAACTAGTCCAATGTTATTCCACTCATCAATGGAAGGGCTGGAATTCAAACCCAAGTCTCTTTCTGTCTGAAAGTGGACCAAGGGCAGAATGTCCACCAAACTAGAAATGTATCTTGAGACCAAGCAATGAAACAGGCCATTCCACGCAGTAAAGCAAAGAATTTTATTGGAGGGTAACTTAAAGACAGGGTGATGGGTTGAGCAGATGATGACCCAAAGGCATACGCTAAGCTTCTCTGCACTATCTCCTAGCTGAGCTCAGGTTTATGTAAGCAGTTAGTAAGTAGACTTAATGTAACTAACTCCAAATGTTGATGCAGTTGGCCAGGACAGTTTAGTGCCAAAGCGGTACTTAATCATTCTGTTTTTAGAGTCCAGAAGGTTGTTCCTATCTATTGTTCTAACTCTCTTGCCCTTAATTACTGTACACTTAACAGGCAAAGCTCTCACAAAGACATAAATGGAAAGATGGAGTCAGTTATGCTTACAGTTCCACAGTTGCCATAGTTCTGCATTGCAAGAGAGATCTTCTGTGATTCAGCAGACAGCCCTGCCCTGGCATCAAGGCATCATCTTAACCATGACCTTGGATGAGTCACTTAGTCTCCCTGTCAACTTCTCACCTTTAGAGGACAGGAGAAGGGATTTAAGGAGGGCTCAGGCTCCTTCTAACTTGGAATGTGGACACTGCCACTGTGCACAGAAATTGGGTAGCACCAGTTGGAACACTCTCAGCGTTTCCAGAAAAGCAGTCTCTGATTTTCCTTGTTAGACTGCTTTCCAAAGAGGGCCTCAGTGGCAGTTTACAGAGCCTTGGAGGTAGTCTAAGTCCTCACCAGGACTGGAGGTCAGCCACAGTTCACCCTGTCTGCTCTGCTACCCACCCTTGATTGCTTATCTCTTCCAGGCCCAGTTTAGACAAACTGCCAAAGGCAGTCAGCAAGGTGTGGCATTGGTACCATGCAGTCTGTGTCTATGCAGGACTGTAACCTACTCCCATGATGCTCAGCCTCACACAGCTCAGGGGGTGGGGGGGGCTACTATTGTCATTCTCTGAGATGTGAAGTCTGGGCCTCAGAAAGGTGACAAGACTTACTCAAGGCCATCCCATCTTCCTGACCCCTGAGCTAGGGCCCTTAATCCCCAAACCATTCACTCTCTTTTTATATTTTTTGAGCTGGCCCTCTTTCTTGGGGTGGGGGTAGGGTGGAATGCATCCTGCAGCAGCACCTGCCCTGGTAGCTTTCTGGTCCATGTGGGCAAAGTAGCAAGAGATTGCTGGTGGTCAGGCCCCTGCCTGGTTTTCACAGTTAAGGTCCTAGATCGAGGAAGGTTTGGGAGGAAGCTAAGGAGC